TATGATTTTTAGGAATGAACGGAACAAGCGGCACCATTTTTTGATGAATATTCCATTTTTTCTTATTTTCTTTATTTTTCGTAATTAAAAAATATAATAAAATAAAAATGACGTTAAAAAATAATGAAATTTTACAGAGATGATCCTTACATTTTTCTAGGCATCCCACAAAAAAATGGCCTCAAAAGATGACCAAAAAAAAAAAGAAAAACGCTGTCAAAAAGCCCCCGGCTCGCGTAATTGGGCGCTCGGGGGCCGGGATGGGTAAAAAATTTATATTTTTATTTATGTCTTGCATTCTAAAATTAATATATGACTTTTAGGAATTAATGCAACTAGCAGCACCATTTTTTGATGAATATTCTATTTTTTTTGGTTTTCTTTATTTTTCGTCTATAAGAAATATAATAAAATAAAAATGATCTCAAAAAATAATGACATTTTGCAGACACGATTCTTACATTTTTGTAGGTGTGCCAGAGAAAAATGCCCTAAAAAAATGACCCAAAAAAAAATAAGAAAAACGCTGTCAAAAAACCCCTGACCCGCGTATTGGGGTGCCCAAGGGCCAGCTCAGGGGCCGGGATGGGTCAAAAATTTACATTTTTATTTATGTTTTACATTCTAAAATTAATTTATGAGTTTTAGGAATTAATGTAATAAGCGGCACAATTTTTTTATAAATATTCTATTTTTTAGGGTTTTCTTTATTTTTCGCCTTTAAAAATATAATAAAATAAAAACGATGTCAAAAACTAATGAAATTTTATAGACACAATCCTTACATGTTTCTAGGCATGCCAGAAAAAAATGGCAACAAGAAATGACGAAAAAAGTAAAACGTTGTCAAAAAGCCCCCGACCCGCGTAATCGGGCGTGCAGGGGCTAGCTCTGGGGCCGGGATGCATAAAAAATATACATTTTTATTTATGTTTTGCATTCTAAAATTAGTATATGACTTTTAAGAATTAATGCAATAAGCGGGAACATTTTTTGATGAACATTCTATTTTTTAGTGTTTTTTTTATTTTTCGTCTTTAAAAAATATAATAAAATTAAAACAACATCAAAAAAATATAAAATTTTGCACACACGATCCTTACATTTTTCTCGGCGTTGCAGAAAAAATGGCCTAAAAATGACAAAAAAAATAAAACGTTGTCAAAAAGCCCCTGGCCTGCATATTGGGGCGCCCATGGGTCAGCTCATGGGTCGGGATGGGCCAAAAATTTATATTTTTCTTTATGTTTTGCATTCTAAAATTAATGTATGAGTTTTAGAAATTAATGCAAAAAGCGACACTATTTTTTTTATTAATATTTTATTTTTTATGATTTTCTTTATTTTTCATCTTTAAAAAATATAATAAAATAAAAACGATGTCAAAAACTAATGAAATTTTTCAGACACAATCCTTACATTTTTGTAGGCTTGCTAGAAAAAAATGGCCTAAAAATGACAAAAAAAAGTAAAACGCGGCCAAAAATCTCCCAGCCCTCGTAGTGGGCCGCCCAGAGGCCAGCTCAGGGGCTGGGATGGGAAAAAAATTTACATTTTTAATTATGTTTTACATTCTAAAATTTATATATGAGCTTTAGGAAGTAATGCAACAAGCGGCACTATTTTTTCATGAATATTCTATTTTTTAGGGTTTTCTTCATTTTTCACCTTTAAAAAATAAAATAAACTAAAAAACAAGGTCAAAAACTTATCAAATTTTGCAGACACGATCCTTTCATTTTTCTAGGCCGGTAAGAAAAAAATGGCATTAAAAAATGACGAAAAAAAGTAAAACGTTTTCAAAAAGCCACCGACCCGCATAATGGGGCGCCCAGGCGCCAGCTCAGGGGCCGGGATGGGTAAAAAATTTACATTTTTATTTATGTTTTGCATTCTAAAAATAATATATGACTTTTAAGAATTAATACAACAAGTGGGAACATTTTTTCATGAATATTGTATTCTTTAGGGTTTACTTTATTTTTTGTCTTTAAAAAATATAATAAAATAAAAATAACATCAAAAAATAATAAAATATTACCGACATGATCCTTACATTTTTCTCGGTGTGGCAGAAAAAAATGGCCCCAAAAAATGACAAAAAAAGTAAAACAAAATCAAAAAGCCCCTGGTCCGCGTGTTGGGGCGCCCAATAGCCAGCTCAAGAGTCGGGATGGGTCAAAAATTTATATTTTTATTTATGCTTTCACTTCAAAAATTAATATATGACTTTTAGGAATTGATGCAACTAGCGGCACCATTTTTTTTATGAATATTCTATTTTTTAGGGGTTTCTTCATTTTTTGCCTTAAAAAATATAATAAAATAAAAATGACGTCAAAAAATAATGAAATTTTGTAGACACGTTCCTTACATTTTTCTAGGCACACCAGAAAAAAAACTGCCTCAAAAAATGACAAAAAAGAGTAAAACGCTGTCAAAAAGCCCCCGGCCCACGTAATGGGGCGCCCAAGGGCTAGCATAGGGGCCGAGATGGGTAAAAAATTTACTTTTTTATTTATGTTTTACATTGTAAAATTAATATATGACTTTTAGGGATTAATGTAATGATCGGCACTATTTTTTTGATGAATATTTAATTTTGTAGGATTTTCTTTATTTGTCATCTTTAAAAATATAATAAAATAAAAACAACGTCAAAAACTAATGAAAGTTTGCAAACATGATCCTTACATTTTTTTAGGCATGCCAGAAAAAAAAGGCCTGAAACAATAAAAAAAAAGTAAAACACTGTCAAAAAGCCCTTGGCCCGCATAGTGGGGCGCCTAGGGGCCGGGATAGGTCAAAAATTTACATTTACATTTTTGTTTTGCATTCTAAAATTAGTATACGATTTTTACGAATTAATGCAACAAGCGGCACAATTTTTTGACGAATATTCTACTTTTTATGATTTTCTTTATTTTTTGTCTTTCAAAAATAAAATAAAATAAAAACGAAGTCAAACAATTATGAAATTTTGCAAAAAAGATCTTAACATTTTGCTAAGGACGCCGGAAAAAAATAGGCTCAAAAAATAAAGAAAAAGTAAAACGTTGTCAAAAAACCTCCAACCCGCGTAGTGGGCCGCCCAGGGGCCGGGATGGGTCAAAAATTTACATTTTTATTTAAGTTTTGCATTCTAAAATTAATATACGATTTTTAAGAATTAATGCAATAAGCGGCATTATTTTTTTATGAGTATTTTATTTTTTATGATTTTTTTTTATTTTTTGTCTTTGAATAATAAAATAAAATAAAAAAGGTGTCAAAATATTCTGAAATTTTACAGACACGATTCTTACTTTTTTCTGGACATGCCTGCAAAAAATAACACCAAAAAATGACAATAAAAAGTAAAACGATGTCAAAAAGCCCCCCGCCCGCGTAGTGAGGCTCCTAGGAGCCGGGATGGGTCAAAAATTTTTATTTTTGTTTATGTCTTGCTTTTTATTTTTGTTTATGTTTTGCGTTCTAAAATTAACATACGATTTTTAAGAATTAATGCAACAAGCGGCACTATTTTTTTATGAATATTCTATTTTTTACAATTTTCCTCATTTTTCGTATTTAAAAAGTAAAATAAAATAAATACGACGTCAAACAATTATGAAATTTTACATACACAATGCTTACATTTTTCTAGGCATGCCTGCAAAAAATGGCAATAAAAAATGACAAAAAAGAGTAAAACACTGTCAAACAACCCGCAACCCGCGTAGTGGGGTGCCCAGGGGCCGAGATGGGTAAAAAATTTACGTTTTTATTTTTGTTTTGGATTCTAAAATTAATATACGATTTTTAAGAATTAATGCAACAATCAACACTATTTTTTTATGAATATTCTATTTTTCGTGATTTTCCTTATTTTTCATTTTTAAAAAGTAAAATAAAATAAAAACGACGTCAAACAATTATGAAATTATGCAAACACGATCTTTACATTTTTCTGGACCTGTTTGCAAAAAATGGCAACCAAAAATGATAAAAAAAGAGAAACGCTATCAAAAAACCCCCGACCTGCATAATGGGCCGCCTAGGGGCCGAGATGAGTCAAAAATTTACATTTTTATTTTTGTTTTGCATTCTAAAATTAATATACGATTTTTATGAATTAATGCAACAAGCAGCACCATTTTTTTATGAATACTCTATTTTTTATTATTTTCCTTATTTTACATATTTGAAAAATAAAATAAAATAAAAACGACGTCAAACAATTATAAAATTTTACAGACACAATCCTTACATTTTCCCGGGCTTGCCTGCAGAAAATGACAACAAAAATGACAAAAAAACACTGTTAAAAAACCCCCTACCCGCGTAATGGGGCGCTATTGAGTCTTCTACATAGAGAAGACTATTGAAATGGAACTGCTTAAACTCGTATCCAATGAGACTATTATTGAGGGGGGAAAAAAAGAACCAAAGAAAGGACAAAATATGTTGTGAATTTAGAATTATGAATAAAACAAAACTACATAAGAAACGTAAAGATTAATATAAAGGTGTATGAAGTAATAACTGGAAAAATAAGAATGGTGTGGTTGAATTTAATATATTTACATAAAAGAAAGAAAAAAGAAACTATGAGCACAAGCATTGAATAGGAATAAGAAAAACATATTAAAGTAGATATAATATCAATTTAATAACAACATTGCTTATGAAGATATGAATAACTAAATATGAAAGGGCTGGAATGATCAATTAGAAAAGAATTAAAACTATGAGAAGTCACATAGCTAGATAGCAATCAGAAAGAGTAAAAGTGATTTCACATTGATCAGAATGAATTAAAACAGACATGGAAGAAATAGCAAGCAATCAAAGTTACATATAATAGATTTCATAAAAATCAATAATTTGGATTTAGATCAAGTACAAAATTAAAAAACAATGACTAGTGTTTAAACTAACAGAAGTATGCAATTATAGCAAAAATACTATGAATCACAAACCAAAACAAAAGTTGGAAAGAAAAAACAGATCTCGGAAAGACAAGTAACTAACTCACATTGTAATTTTCAAACGTTGGGTTCTTCGCCGACGAGATTAACAAAGAATCATCTTGAAGAGTTTTAAAAAAAATAAGAGATATACAAAGGAAACATATGAACCGGCCACAAGTATAAATACAGTTTAAACCATCACAAGAGACTCTTTCAAGACTTCTAGGCTAGAAATACCTACGTTGAAGAAAAAAAGTACCTCCATGATCTCAATGCACAAGAGAACAGTGACTATTACAACTAATAGTGCCGCACATGGATCAAGGACAATACTAAGTCAAGCAATCGTATGGCGAGCAAGGAAAGCAGGTATTTTCTCCTTAACCTCCAAAAAAAAAAAAAAAGAAAGGCATGATTTTGTATTTGAACAAGAAAAATAAATTTTATTAGAAAGGATAAAGGCATACATTACTGAAAACAAACAGGGGAGAAGAAAAAAAGAGAAGCAAACCAAATTCCAATTATACAAAGCTCAACTATACTAGATTTGGAGTTGTCACACTAGTATTAGAGCCCAACTAACCTGCCAAGCAAAAGCACAAGAATGAACGGATAAGTACCATCTAGTAAGCCATCATAATTCATATATGACTGGCTGTACGCTTTTCCAATCCAGTTGAAAAGCCAAAGAAATTAAATAACAATAACAAAATGTTTTCTTGGAACAAAATTCAGATTGAGGGAATTTCCAGAGCTATAGAATCTGGCAAATCTCATATTTGCCGCTTAACTCATTCGGACATTCCGAAAGCGAACAGAAATGGAAGATGAAAAGTACAAATATATTTCAGACTCTTGTTCTCATAGAACCCGAGGCAGAGCACCAAAGCAGAGAAAGATAGAACGGTTGTAGATTGGTAACTATACACTTTCTCAAATTGGCATGCTACAACAATTTAGTGGTTCAATTCTGGGGAACAAGCAAAAGATCCAGTCATACATGACACACACACACACACACTATATATATACATATACACACACGCACACACACACTATATATATACATATATACATACATATATGAGACACATATAACTGGACCAAAAAAAACTGTAATCTTAAAGATTAATTGTTCAGAATCTTTGATCAAGTACACCAACTGGGCATACATATCCATTTTGAGCAGCGTTTCATTTATCTATTGAACCATCAGAGACCATGAAAAATTTAAATCTCTTGGGAATTCATAATTATATATTCCACTGAAAGAAAGCTCAAACACGTATTATTTTGCAAACCAAAACATGCTCATCAACATTAATATATCAAAAATCAAACAAAAAGAACCAGACTTTCTTATGCAATCCAAGAAAATAAAAGATATTGTTTGTCAAGAAAGCCATGCTTCAAAATAGAATTTCTCACCTGGTGAAGATTCCTTCTCTTAGAGTCCTCCCAACATACTCCTTTTCACTTTGACAAAGAATGATATCAATGTTTCACATAGAAAATAACAACCTGCGCAACAAGCATTCAAATCAAACTTCAGCAAACCTAATTTGTTCTTCGAATTTTCCTCATTTTATCTCTAATCATAAGCATTAAGAAAGAAACAATAGATATGAATGAAAAACCACCTAAAACTTGTTTTGAATCAAGGTCTCCCTTTCCACGCAAGCAAATAGCTCGTAGATCTAAAGAGAAATATGATTAGTGTAAAGATGGTAAAAACTGCACAATGAAGTTTCGAAATCCAGAAAACAGAGAGAAAAGGAAAAGAAAAAAAAGGGCAGTGCTTATGAAATGGTGCTCTCTTTAAATAAGAATTGGATTAAGGAACATGGGTTGTGTCTTCTTCCTCATCATCATCTTTGAAACCTCCAATTCCCCAGCCCTGATGACGACAGCGGCATTGAAGCTTTTTGGCACAGGCCTTGCGAGCGGCAATCAGGATCATAGAAATGGAGAGGAAATATTGGGATTTGCTCATAAAGCTTTTACCATTTCCTCTGAGATCTCCCTCTTCTCACAGGATTTGCAGCCGCGGAGACAATACCTCCACCATCATTCATCCAAAGCAAGTTTTAGAACCAGAGGGCAAGGGGGAAGAAGTAGAGAATGCAAGACGAACCTGACTTCAAAATACAATTATGATTTTGGTGGGATCATTCCAATAAATTATGCTTAAAATTCCGTAATCCACATTCTTCCGAACGAACGAAATCTTATACAAATGCAATGGTTAAAAAACCAAGTACAATATAATATTATTAGGGCAGAGAGGATAATATATGGTGCATATATGAATAAAGAAATCAAGAAAAGCACAAATTCTTGCAGCAACTACCAAGAAGGGGGAAAAAAAAACGGCATCACAGTTTGGAGAAGGTAACCTCGACTCCTTTGCACAACTAATATTTGAGAATCTAGAAATAAGAAAAAATAAGAGAAAATATTAGAACCAAAACAGAGCAATAAAAAACAAAATTTACAAACTGATCTAGGGACTATGAAAAGTATGTATGAAGAACATCTTCCACTCAATAGGATACGAAGAATAATAGGAAAAAGGAAAACCCTTTTCTCTAATAAACTTAACTGTTATTATTCAATATATTATTTTTCCTATTATTTTTCCTTTTTCCTATTCTTCTATTATGTATGAAGAATAATAGGAAAAAGGAAAAATAATATACTAATATACTATGATAGCACCCTGCCCTGAAATTTTACTGCCGTGTCATAATTCAAGAAAAATCAAGCAAGAAAACATGTGACTGAAAATTTTCAAGAAGTTACAAAAGACTCAAGTTGTCTCCATTCTTCAACGGAATTCATAAATAGGTATGCAGCTAATCCCATTGTTGTGCACTCCATCATCTCCATAGTGCAAGATTCTGTGATGATCCACATACCTTATTCGTAAGAAGCAAATCACATTAGTAGCCTCCACCAAGAGAAAGTTCACACACACACACCCTTTAGATTATGTACTCAATCATGCAAGATTGTGACGATCTACATGCCTTGTAAGAAGCAAATCACATTAGTAGCGACCATCTAGAGAACGTTCACACACAAAGACACAAATCCTTTAGATGTTCTGTTGGTTCCCATGGTTTGCCGACTTCTTGAGAAAAGACTAGTAATTCCTCTAGAACAGATAAAAATAAAGGCTGCAAAAGTAAATAAAATAAAATAAAAACTAATTGCAGGTGCAAGATCACATTTTTTTTATCGATTATGCACACCATCAAAGCACCATTCTTTATCTGCCTACCTGCCTGACCTTTAAAAAGAGAAGATACATTAATAATTACTACAAAGCACGTAGATCAAAACCTGATTAATAAAGGCATATGATAACTAAAATAAAAGAGCATTTGCTTATGATATCTTGTATGCTCAAAGAAACCAAAAAAGAAATGCAATTGGAAGCCTTGCAACTAGATCTCAGCAACATTAAAAAGCTTATTTAGTGACGCCAACATTGACTAACATTTGTGTCTTTCCAAAATCCTAAAAGTTCTTACTACAATATAAGTCTCAAGTATACAACTAGAAGCTGAATAGAAAAGAAAATTCAATAAAATTGAGATGGACTTTTGCGGGGGGGAAGGACCATATCCTTCCAAAGTAGCATGGAATCAATTACCTTAGTGCGCATCACTAGCAGAAGAAATATAATACAATTATTGGATCCGTAAATAAACTTGAACTTTACCCATTTGTTCCAGAAAACATGATCACTAAAGTTACCCATTTTTTCTTTTTTTTTTTCCGTTCCATATCTCTTTCTCTATATTTCTATTCTATTCCATTGCATTGTCATTTTTTTTTAATTCTTCCTCCTTTTTCCATTTCAGTTTTTTTATTCTTCCCTTCCTTTTCTTTCCACCAGTTAAAACGACGTGCTTGGCACGAATGAGACTGTGTAAATACTAAATTGAAGGCCTTCTACAATTTGCATGTTTCATCCTCTTATTGTCATATCTAACCAGAACACATTGTATGCTTTCTTGTAGGTGTTGTAATTATCACATAAACTACACAAACTTTTTTTTACAGGAAATTGTTCTTCAAAAAAAAATCTGAAAAACACCATCTCTTTTGTACCAGTTCTTATTATTGTAGCCTAATCATTCATAAATCATCAAAATGAAATGGAAGCACGTGATACAAGCGCTACAATCCTCAGATCATTTTTAAACTCAATCATACACCAATAAAAGTAAAATAACAAACCTATTATTTATAATAGTATCCTGCAAAAAAAAAAAAAAAATACCACAAATTAGACATAATGGTTCAATATTAACACCAAACGATGGAAGATTTATGATGCCAAGCTCATATATTAGGCCACTATTTATACGTTAAAAGTTAAAACTCCTACACTTTGAAGCATCACATTGGAAATTCATTGGCTCACCTGAAGTTTTACGCTAGTACTCCTCGAACAAATACGCCTGAATGGTAAAAGCAGTGAGATACTTGAAAAACCAATCACTAAATAGTATATTAGACAGATATAAACTAATAAATACTGCTTATTCATAGGTAAGCATGAGATTAAAATATGATGTTGGTGTCGAGATGCTTCCGTAAGATACTAAGAACAACAAGATATGCCACAACTAATAAGACACCGGTGTTACAGCTAGTGTAGAAAAGGAAATAAATAAAAAGAAACTTAAATTAGAAAATTATGTGACCAAGTGCATGGTCCTAAGGAACAGAACCCATTCCTTCAGGTGCTACGATAATAAATTCCTGGGTTTAGTATAAACCCATCTCCAAGAATGCTTAAGAACATCGAACAAAAAAAAATAAAAAATAAAGAATGAAGAATAAACATACCTCATCAAGCATTGGAAGAACACGCATTAAAACCCAAGTTGAAGGAGAAGGAAAATAAAAAGACCAAACACGAAGTAACATAATTTCAATTAGAGAGAGAGTGAGAGATATATGAGAGACTAAAAACAAAATCAAAATCTCATTCAACGTTAAGATAAAGTTGGAAAATTACAAAGTGACAAGCTTGATGACACATGTTTAGCCGTCCTGTTGGTCAAGTGTATAGAACATGAGCTCTGCTTCTTCAATCCAACTTTTTCACCACAACTAACGAAACCAAATTTCATAGAATCATAATTAATAAGAACTTTATGATTTGAAACTGCCATCTTTTCTTTCAAATGAAAAAACAAAATTATAATTGAACTTTATCTTTCTAAATTAACCTCAAGTTGTTCTTATTCACGTTCATTTTTCTTTTGGCCTCCTCAATCTAGTTGCCAACCAAAAACTTGTAATATCATAACCAAAAACAACATTAGAAAAAAAAAATTTTGATGAAACAACGTTAAAGATTAAGGCCCCGTTCTTTTCGCTGATTCGAGTTTAAATTCAAGTTTTGCTACAGTAAAAAGCTCTCAGAAACAATTACATCTAACTTTTTTGTTACAGTAAAAAACTCTCACACAACATCACATCTCAACTCGAATTAACGAACCGAACGGGCCCTAAAGCTTCCATAATTTCCTTTAGTTTTGTGAATGAAGAAACAGAGCACAAAATTTGGAAACCATCATAACTCAAAGAGATCAATCTCTTGAACCTTAATCAGCCAACACTAATAATTTGCTCCATCAAATTTCCCAATTTCACATTCCTTTCCTTATTATCTGAAACTAAGATAATGCTACGAAATAAACTTACATATGAATCTGAGCTCCAAAGGTCGAACATTGAGAAGTTCTCCGTTATTGATCCCTATGAACCAATAAAAAATGACAACTTTCTCTAATAATGGTCTCTCTCACAAGCCCAAAATGATGGCTCTTTGTTCATCCAAATGCATAGAGGGAGAGCACGAACAAAAGACAAAGAGAGGTGAAACAAAAGAAAAGAGAAAAAAGCCGGATGAGAAAAAAAAAGAAAAGAAACGACGTTAGAAAGCAAAGAAAAAAAACAAAAAAACAAAAAAGAGCACAAAAGGAATGACCTACTTCTCGAATAGTAACTAAAAGGAAACTAGCTTTATAAACCATAACAATTATTTCCATCTTTATTGCAATGTTCCCTTCAATATTGAGTTGTTAAATAGTAAGATCCCAGCCGCGAAAAAAAACACATAATTAGGGAATTAACTGAGTAAGATCTCTTAATTGATAAATTATAAGAGAGTGCAAGACTAGAAAAAAAACTCACCATGGCTGAATGGACCCTCAGGTGTTGTAAAAGGAGCTAAGGCCTGTTCATGACTCGGCCTAATCGGGGGTGCCCAAAGCCAACAAAATGAACCCAACCTAATATTAGAATCTCTTAATTGATAAATTATAAGCATGTAAGACAAAAAAAAACAAAAAAAAAAACAACTCACCATGGCTGAATGGACCCTCAAGTGTTGTAGAAGGAGCTAAGGCATGTTCATGACTCGGCCTAATCGGTGCCCAAAGCCAACAAAATGAACCCAACCTAATATTAGAAAAGAGACAAAAGGATTGTGAGATAGATAAGCCAGCGACTCACCAAAAGAAGAGTATGAAAGGCATTCAAGATTAGGGCAAAACTAAACCGTAGAGATATTTACCTCTTAGTGAATTCCACCGAGAGGAAAGGGAAACGCTAAAAATTAATAGGGGCAAGGTCTAGAAGAGCATTGAAGATAGATTTTTGAAATTCATATACTTTATGCTGTTGAGAATGGCAAAAAAAAAAAAGAAAAAAGAAAAGAGAACACAAAATTAATGGGTAGGAGAAGACAAAGGGAGAACAGCGACATGAACACCAAGGAGAAGAAAGATGAAGAGAGGAAAGCTGAAGAGAGGAGAGGATTGACAATCAAGAGGAAACCGATGAGTAATAAAGGGGAAAGACGATTTTTTTATTTTTTTTTCAAATCTCATCCGATACATGGTTGAAAAGCAACTCCCAAAGAACAAATGCTACATGAAAGAAAGAAAGGAGCCCACCTCCTGACTAAATTCAATAAACTTGGATTACCAAAGACCCTATATCAGTGTACCTGCCAAAAAACCTAATATTTCACTTTATCCCACAAAACAAAAATAAAAAATCATGTATTTCCTTGCTAGCCAAATACCTCAAAAGATTCATAGCGTAGCAACTTCCTAAAGACATCTACCCCTAAGACTAAAATTAGAAGGGAGGAACCACTCAATCAATTCCCTGTAGTTCCTAGGCAAGGCTCAATAGATTCCCAACTCTTTCAGCAAAAGCGACCAGATATGGAGTAAGTAATGACAGTGTTATGAGGAAATAGCAAGATCACATTTTATGAATAAACCACTTTAACCTAAGAATCTTCAATAAATCAACAGTAATACAAAAGCTCATAAAAAATGCCACATTATCACAAGTCAGAGAAGCAAAAAGAAATTACAATGTTCAAATATTAAAAAGGGAGAGAGGGAGGCAGAAATAGAGAAACAAATCACCCTTTTTCTAAGGAGGGTTGGAGTTCCAAGGGAAACAAGCAAGAACCAATGGCGAAGAGGCTTCAAGGAGGGCTTACAAAAAGGGAGACAAACATGAGTTACACAGTAAACATAGAGAGTCAACCCATCACCACACTTCTTTCACTTAACTTGAAAAGTACCAACTCAAATTCAATACAAGCCTGTTATCATTTCAACATACCACCAATCCCACCAAGCCTCTCCTTTAATCAGTTGAAACAGCGCAAGCAGTGTCATAATTAAGAAATAAAACAACACCTTGAAAAGCAAAGAACACAATATAGCAAGTAGAAAAATAAAAACAACAAAAGGAAACAACCTGAAGATTAAACATATGGCAAACAATCAAACAAAATTTTCATAAGACGAACGAGGACGATGACATTCACCAAAGCAGGCTAACGACAAGCAGAAGATAAAGAAAAATGTATAAATAAAGAAAATAACAAGAATGAATGCAAATCAAATGTCAAAAAATAAATTTCCAGGCTTTATGCTCTAGAAAATGGTTGCAAACAACAAGAGAATGCGCGAGAAAAAGAAAAGAGCAACAATGTGCATAGAATCGTAATACAGAAGAATAAGAAAACAATAAAAGAAGGATTTTAGCAAAATTGAAAATTAGGATTTTGGGAAGAAGCGTTTCATCTGCAGAGAAGAAGTAGATGGCGTACTTTTGGTGAATGCAGGTCATAGTGCTGCAATCGAACAAAGCTGGTGAGTGGCAGAAGAAATTTTCACTTTCAAAACATCAAAGATCCAACTCACAAATCAAAGATTTTGGCAAAAAAATTTTAAAATTAGTCTCATTCGCTACAAGAATCCCATCTTTTCTGCCCACATATACAATTTATAGTTTAAGAAACGCAAGTGCAACAAACAACAAAACAAAAAAAATTAAAAAACTAAAAGAAAAAGAAATCTTTATTGAAGTAGAGATCATACATCATCCACAACACTGTCAAGTTGAAGCCAGAATCCACATTTTCACAAGGAAAACCTTTTTCATGAAACAAAGATCTTGACACTGAACATATCAAAATGATAAGATATAGCCAAAAAAAAAAAAAAAACAAACAAACAAAAAGGAAAACAAAATAATAACTGAGAATGAAAGAGTCCGAAATATGGCCAACCAAGAAATCAACTTGCACGGTTTCTTGAAAACACCCAGCAAATAAAGCTGTAGAGAGAGAGAGAGAGAGGTGAACTTACATCAGCATACAACCACGCAATGGAGAAACTAGTTTCAAACCCACCAAATGTAGAAAAGCAAAAAGAGAGATCAAACACTCAATGGAGAAACTAGTTTCAAACCCACCAAATGAAGAAAAGCAAAAAGAGAGCACTCACCCCTTTTTTTTTTTTGAAAATCAAACCCTGATCTTTTTAAGGGACCCTTTCCCATGGCAAACTTTAGCCAACCATGTTGAGGAAGCATTTAACATTACCACCTAGAAAGTATTCAAACCAAACAACAAACAACGCAAATAAGATTCTGCCATTAGGACTCTGGACACACTTCAGTGAGATGAAGTTTCATTAAGAGAACAAAAAAAGAAAAGAAGGAAAAAAAATTTAAAAAAAAGGGCATCTGATTAGGAACATACCTTCAAAATGTGAACAGAGAAAACCTCAAACTTAAGCATTCTACAACAGTCCATAAATTAGTAGAGAATGCAAGACGAACCTGACTTCAAAACACAATTATGATTTTGGTGGGATCATTCCAATAATTTATGCAAAAAAAAAAAAAAAAAAAAAGGGCCTCACATTTTGGAGAAGGTAACCTTGACACATTTGCACAACTAATATTTGAGAATCCAGAAATAAGAAAAAATGAGTAAGCGTCGAAATATTAGAACCAAAACAGAGCAATAAAAAACAAAATTTACAAACTGATCTAGGGGGACTATGAAAAGTACGTATGAAGAACATCTTCCACTCAATAGGCAAAATTTGCAAACTGATCCAGTGACTGATCCAGTGACTATGAAATACTAATCCCCAAAGCATTTCAAGAAAATAATAGTTGTCAAGTGACAATAATGAATTCACCAACAAATGTCTAAAACAAAGAAGAAATTAGCGGTCTTTTTTTTTAGTATTACCTTCTCTTGACATTTTCTGATAATGAATGTTGAGTCTTCATAACCCCTCATTTTGGAAAGTATAAACACAAACAAAAAATAAAAAGAACTTAGTACGATCTAAATGTCAAGAAATAAACAGCGCAAGCAGCAAACTTAAAGCAAACTTAAGAAGCAAACTTCAATTGAACCAAAAACACATACAAAAGGTTACTATCCCATCCAATTCCAAATCAATCAAAATCATCATGCTCTTAATAAAGTTTGAGGTTGAACTTCATAAAAAATTTCACAATTAACCACCAAATTTTAAAAAATAAGAACAAGAGAAATTCATTAATGAACAGTACAAAGAACAGCACAAGAACATTTAATAAGTTCATATTTAGCGACCAAATTGTATTTAAAATGAATAAGATCCATTTGCAACAACCAAAACAAATATACTTTGAGATCGCAATTCCAGAAACATATATTCAGACTTCAATTTAGGAACAATTATGCCTCAGCACCCAATAATCATCGCACAAATTACATGAGTTGGCTTTAATGTTGTTACGTGAAATTCAAAATTTAGTAATTTATGATATCAACATTAATCAAGTAATAAATAGGTCAGACCAAAAATTTGAACTCTCCAAATAAAAGTTAAGAAGCAGTTATCAAAACCAGAAAACAGAACAAATGAGCATTCTCATCAATTTAGTATGGAAGGAAGAACTCACCAATGGTAGGAATTCTTGTGACGATCTCATCAAGCTTGAGATTGTAGAGAATGGTGGTCTTACCAGTAGCATCAAGACCAAGCATTAGAGATGCGAATCTCTTTCTTTGCAAAAAGCCGGCTGAAAAGCTTCGTGAATGTCAGCCCCATCTTCTTGCTTCAGATCCCTAAATATCCAAGCACCAAAAATCACTCGTATCAACAAAATGAAAACACTCCTAAAACCGCACCGAACCTATAAAAAGTCGAGAAATTGCCTCTTAGAAGAAATTTGTCTTGATTCTTCGACAGATCTGACAGATCTGATTGTACAGGCAATTTAATGACATAAGCATCTCATAGCCACAAATTGGACCAGCGCAAAACCCTGTGTCCCAACCATTGTCCTTCAAACAAGTCTCCCCCATAGAGAGTCGATGGTGAGGCGACCGTCGGATAAACAACCAGTAATCGGCGGAAGAAGGAACGCCCGTTGGGGAAATTGACGTGTTTACTTGTGTCTCTGAGGTTCCTTATTATTTTAACTAATCAAACACTCTACTTTCTTCAACCAATGAAATCCCGAACAATACTAAATACGTCAAGGCTTTTCAAATTCTCACAAGACCAAGAAGAAGGAATTCGAAACCCCTAGTTTCCCTTTCTTTTCGTGGTTTTCCCTCGGAGAACAAAGGCATAAAATTTGTATAAATTGAAAAAAAAGAAAATTCAAACTCAACCAAATTTAAATCAACCCTAATTTTACGCTTCAGATTCAAAAATAAACTTCTTTTTTCCTTCCGCAGCTAAACAAAATAAGTAAATCCACAGTCAGAATCACACACAACCATACCTGGACACCAGATTCGCAGGTTCCAATTACGGAGTTCTCGAGAGCCGTCTCCATGCTCAGCTTTCTCTTGAGAGGGTTCGACGACGGCAGTCGTGACGGGAGCGGGCTCTTCAACTTGGCGGAGGAGATCGCTTGTGAGTGCTTCGGAATCGGGGGCAATGAGATCGGATCCGACGGCGGAGCGTTCTCCTCGGAGCCCCTCTGCTTCCGCGACTGCCGGGGTTTGGCTGTGCTAGGGTTGGGCGAGGCCGGACACTTTACCGTCCTCTCCCTTAGGATTGCATTTCTTTGCTGAATGAAGTGGTTCATGGCTGCGAAAATTAGAGAGAGAGAGAAGAAACGGAGGAGAGAGAGAGAGAGAGAGAGAGCGCTTTAGGATTGAAATGGACGACAATAGATTCTTAGGAGAGAGAGAGAAGGAGAGAGTGATTGAGAGCGCTTTAACACATCCGATAAGTCAGTTCTTAGGAGAGAGAAGGCGAGAGATATTGAGAGCGATTTAACGGTTCTTTGGTCCGTTCATCGCTGATTCGAGTTTGTAATTTGAGTTGAGATGTGATTTTATATAAGAGTTTTTTATTGTAATAAAAAAGTTAAATGTGATTATTTATGAGAGCTTTTTACTGTAACAAAACTTGAATTCTAAACTCAAATTGGTAAAATGAATGGGGTATTTATTTATTTATTTTGACTTATTTAAAAATAAGTCGATTTTTTATTTATTTAAATCTCATTCGTTTTACAGATTTAAATTTTAAATTAGAGTTGAGATGTTATATTTTTTAAAAATTTTTAACTAGAGTAAAAATAATTTTTAAAAATAATCTCTTGATAAAACTATCAAATGTATTTTTAAAAATAATTTTTATCTGAGATTAAAAATATTTTTATTTTTATTTTCATATAAAAATAAAATCATTTTATAACGAGTCACCCCATATTTTTTTCATTTTCTGTTTTTAGAAAAATTTTGAGATAGTGTATTTCCTAACAAACACCTAGCTCTATTTTCACAATATTTTAGTTTCTTTATTATTTATATTTTTATTTTCTTTGGTGAATTATCACATCATTTTTGTTATTCTATTTGTTTTCATATTTTTTTTTGCACGTATCTAGAGAAAGAGTTATATGGACTCGTTCAGTTCATGAGATTGAGAGAGTTTTAATGGTTCTTTGCTTATTTATTTTTACTTATTTAAAAATAAGTCGATTCTTTACTTATTTAACACATTCGATAAATTGGTTCTTTACATCCAATAAGTCAGTTCTTATTTTCTTGCATATATTGGTTTTATAACGAGCTTTTTTATATATATTTTTTTTAAACGCAGCATTTATGGTAGACACCTTTTTTTGTCATACATGGAGAATAAGATTTTAATACCCTATAATTAACATCAACGGCTAAAGAGATCCACGTTGTTTCGTGGTGTTGAAACTCAAAACACCGTTACTGGTATTTTCAAGTTGCTATCCAACATCTAGGTTATCATCTACACTTCCTATAAAAATTTTTAGATGCACAGCCTTTGTACACATTCGTGATCATAACCGGGGAAAACTTGACCCTAGAGCTAAAAAATGTGTTTTTGTAGGATATGCACCGACTCAAAAAGGTTATAAATGCTTTGATCCAATTTCTAAGAAAATGTTTGTTACCATGGATGTAACTGTCGAAGACCTATGGTTTTTTAAAGTTAGGAAATTATCTCTTAAGGAGATTATCATTCTAAAAGTTAGGAGTCATCTCTTTTTTTATTCTGTTTTTAAATTTATAAATCCGGATAGAATGTTTGTTTAGGTCCGGATAAGGATGACTTAGAATCCAATTAGGATTTTATGATTAGCTTAGGTTTTCTAAGGTAGTTTTATGCCTATAAATAGCTTCTAAATTCCGCATATTAATAATAAGAAAGTAAGTTCTTTTTCTTCTAAAAAACTACGAGTCTACAATGTTCATTTAGAAAGTTGAAAATAATTCTTCGAATTTTATTTTGTTCTCTGTTTAAGGTGATATACTTGGAGATCATCTTCACCATATGAAAAACGATTGAAGTTGAGCTATAATAAGCATGAGGTATATCTTTAGAATTGTGCATTTTTTTTTCTTTTTTTTTTTTTTTGGTTCTTTTGATGTTCTTGTAGATTATTAATATCACTCATAGCTTGCATTGTTGCGTCACTCCATTTCCCAACTCCACAGCGTAGTTAGCCCTTGTTACCAACATTACATTTTAAGATTGTCAATATCCTATTACTACTAAGTATTATTTATAGCACCAATTCTTAAGCAAGCACCAATGCATCCTACAAAGTTAGTTCAACTTCAACTTTTTTTGTTCTTGTTTTTTTTATCCAAAGCAGTTAACTTCAACTTTGAAATTTATTTATTTATGTTTATTTAGTTTACATTTTTTTAACCCATCAACAACTAGACACTATGGATTTCATAGCTAAGAATTAATCCAAGTCCTAAATACCCAACTAAAATTAGAAAAAAAAAAAAACACACAAAACACTATTTCATCACATGAACAACCTAAAAAATTACACAAGTAATTTTAAGGGGAAAAAAAGAGTACCAATTGGGGTGAATGCTGGCCAAAAGCTGATTATCCTACGGCTCTAAAAAAGCTGGAAATAAGTCCCAATAAGACTTAAGCATAAGATAACTTCTTACTTCCTACTTATCTTTTATGTCCTCAGTTATTTCTAATAAATTTTATCTTACATTTTCTTATTTCTAACATATTATTATTTTTGTTCTTTCAGCAGAATGAAAGTTTCCCGCTTTAAAATTCACTTGTTATGTTTAGGGGACAAGGAGGACGTAACTCCTAAAATACCCACGTTTTTCCCAACAAACAATCTAAATACCATACTCATTTTAAATACTCCCAGATCTTTAGGTTAAAAATACTGTATGCTTCAGTCAGCCTTTTCTTTTCAAGATTTTTATCTATTATTTGTACTCTGTTACTTTGTACTTTATATCCTGTGCATCTCAACTCAAACACTTAACTCTTTTTTTTATTATTTTTATTTTTAACATTTCTTCTTTCTTTTACACACACACACACACACACACACACAAAATCAGCTTGCTTCTTCATTCTTTCCTCTATTTCTCAAACGTTGCAGCCTGGTTTCTTTCTCCTGTTCAGAGCTTCTTTCTAAGGTATTACCTGAATTTTTTTTCGCTAATAATGTTGCTCATGATCATATGTATACTTTATTTAAAATAAAATTTCTAGTTTTGTTTCTATGTTGTAACTCAAAGAATTATGCTTCCTTTTTTCATACAGAACTTTTAATCATTCATACAAGTTTCTTCTTAAAAAGAACTTTTGAAGTAAAATTTTATGATATCTTTTTTCTAATTAATGTTGTCTTTTCCCCGCGGAGATAAAACCATGGATGCAAATATAAACTAATGTCAGAGATTGTTCCTGGCCAAAGAAATTGGACTGCCAAAGTGATAGCAGCTGAAAAGTCTATTCTACGGACTGTATGTTTATGGACTCTTCTTAAACGAGCTAACATTGAGATGAAAACCTTTATTTTGGATAACAAAATACAAGTCTGCAAGTTAAACAAAATGACTGATATTTTGTTAACTTAAGGTACACAATATTATGTAATGAATGTATAAAATATTATACGATGCCTTTTCTTTTTAATCTTACAATAGTATATGATGTTTCTTTTTACATGTTTTACACTATGACAATTTAAATGACAACTTGATACGTGCAACGCACGTTTTGCTAACTAGTTGTATATAGATTTGTGGATTTAACCAAACTGATTCAGATTTGTGGTTAACCAATCGCATAGTTGTCACCAGAAAAAAGCAAGAAGCTATTGAAATCTTTTTAGATACTCTATTTGACGTTGAGGATTCTTGTGATCGCTCTAGAAATGTTGTTTTTAAGGAAATTTTTGCATTGGCAGACTAAAAAATGCAGTTAACTATTCCTTTCGTTTGGATACAACTACTGCAAGACTCCAGTCAATATTATTAATGTTTTTGTACTCCATATTGATTTATTGCAATTTGCAGATATGATCTTATTGGAGTCTTATGGTGTTATTCACAAAAAGTATGAATATAAATAACCAACTTCCTTGGCTAAGGTATCTACATTATTTAATCTCTACCTTTTTTCTCTCTCCATTATGTCTAAATTAAAATTTATTATTTCTCTAAAATTTTATTCGGTTCCGATAAAATTTACCTTAAATGGCTCTTTCTTTCATCAGCTTAATAGTGACTGAGTTTAGCTTTGTGATTAATGATATTCTTATCTTCATTAGTTTTTTAAATGAAATTTACAGTCAAGTCCAGAGGCTTTGTATTGGTTTGCTTTGTCACTTAGCATTATTGCTTAATGAAAAAGAACTGAACCAGGCCAGAGCATAACTAAACCTCCCCTTATAAAGAGGCTCGAGTAGAGCAAGTTCACTAGGTAAATGCCTTCTTATCTCTTCATGCTTCTAGATTCATCTATTTTCTGCTAGACTTGTTAATTATTTCCTCATAGTGAGTGAAACAGATGAAGGTCAAGTGGTTGTAAGCCATATTATGGTGTTGCGATAAGGTAAGTGACTCATCATGAACCACTTACCGTAATACGGACTTTTGAGACTTGCTCTTATTTCCTTTTATTAAAAAGGATGTTCTGTTTCGAATGACATGTTCGGACCCTGTACTTCCATTTATTGATTCAGTTTTATAAAATCATATCTACTAGGCTTTTCGCTAACTTTTTTATTTTTATTTTTATTTTTTTTATGTTTTATGTATTTAAACCCCTCTCAGGCGACACTAGAAGTAGTGCTGAGTAGACGGTGATAATCGGTGAGGAAATCCACTCAAGAATACAAGAAGCTGTGAAGTGTTTTCTTCATTTCCTCTTATTTTAAGGCATGTATAAATTATGGATTTAAATTCTACTAGACTGTGGTTGATGTCAGTTTTCTACTTTTCTATATTGTTTATGTATGCACAATGTGGAAACCCTGTGGATGCCAGAGGCTGACTTTTGAAATTAATTTGACCGTGATTGTGGTTTTGTAAAGTCTACCTCACTTTTTGTAAAACTCAATTTCCTTAAAATAGTGGGGTTTCTTTATAAATTTCTAAATATTAATCCTTGAAAATGATTTTTAACATTATTATATGTTTAACCACTTTCTTAATC